TAAATTTAATGGTGGATAAAAGATAAATTTAATGCTTCTAAGGCGATGTTTTAGAAAGATGCTCACTCACCAAAGTCAAATCAGCACATTGTATTCCATAAATGCATTAATGTACACAGTTATGATTTAATAAAGAAAAAAAGTCAGTCAAAGAATTAGGAAGCAGGGATGGTGCTGGTCAGTTTTGACCTAGAAGGGCAAGTTTGCAGGGCACTAAGTTAAACCCCAGAAAGTGCATTTAAATCTGTCTTTGACACTTGCTGGTATATGAAACTATGCTAAGACACCAGCCCTCAATTCCTCCTTCATAATATGATGATTAAAAAATAATAATAATGCCTAACTCATAGGCTCATTGTGCTGATTAACTGAAATTATGAATCCATGCTGCTACGCCAGGAATGCAGTCAGGAAAGGTTAGCTGGTGCCTCCTTTATTATTCTTTTAATTTTAACTAGATGAATTATTTGATGACTGAGTCCCCCTGCTGCAATACTAATTGGGAAAATTTATGATACATTTTACCCAAGGATACATTGTATATACAATCATAAAATGAAATATAATTGAGATTCCTTGGTGGAGTTCTTCTATTACCGAACCTTCCCACCAGAGGCTTGGCAAAATTTTTAGGTAGAACCTAAGTATTTCCCTTTCACTTTGTTTTTTACAACTTCTTCTGACCCTCATTCGTAAATACAAGTACCTATATAAGAGTACCAGAATACTCATAGGTAAAAGTACATTTACAATAATACAAGAGTACCCCACTGCTGTCCATGTCAGTTTGAAGACACCCTGGGGACTGCTGTGATCACGTGGGGTACTGTCTCCCAGCGCTGCAGGTGACCAGAGTTCATTCAGGCCATTTCCAGTTGGATTTTTCTTGCTCTTATCCTTGGAAATTTTCTCTTTTGGAGTAGTTATCTTTTTCGTTAATGACCAAAGAAAGGCCTACACATTAAAGGCCATTGATGATTGGTCAAAAATATTGTACTAGGCTTTGAATTTTGTTCCTCCTTTTGGTTTTTGTTCATTTAAATTTGGGGGTTTAATTTTTACATACTTGGATCGATGGATATTTACTCTGTAGTTTCTTCAATTGGTTATATGCTTAAGAAGCATCCTCCTAAAGCAAAGTGTGTTTAACTTAGACCTTCGTTTTTATTTCTCTTTTACATTTGACTCCCAACAAGATTGGTTGATGTCTTAGCATTACTTATTAAAGAAAAATGCATTTTTCCATTTGATTTTAAATTACCAATTTTTTCACTTAATTTCTTTCTTTATGAGCAGTTGGCCCTAAAAAAAAAAAAAGCACTATCTTAGAATAATTGTCAATACCTATAGATGAGGTCAGGACAGTCAGTGGAGGGCTCATCCGTATAACTGGAGAAGCGGAGCTGCCTGCTGCGCCCCTGCCAGGACCCAGCTCTCCTGTGGTTACTCCTGCATCCAGCTGTGTGAACACTAGTGGGCTGATAGCTCCCAGGCTCTGAGAGACGGGCAGACAGCTTCTGCCAGCTTCCTAGCACTTTCTGTGCAAATACCCATCCCTATTGCATTGTTTCAAATGTAAACTAGGGTGACCAGACATCCCACTTTTGGCGGGATAGTCCCAATTTTTAACAATTTGTCCTGCATCCCGTGGCAATTTTAAAAAGTCCCGATTTTTGGAAAGAATGCACGACAAGCTAGGGAACGAACAGCAGGACAACAGGAAGAGAATATACTGTTTTCGGCTGCTGAAAATGTTAATGTAACTCCATTTGGGAATGAAGAGGCTAAAGTAAACTCCCTACTCCCCTTCTGGGCAAGGTAACCCAGGTGGACCAGTGCCCTACTCCTTTGAGCCACAGGCGCCACCCTATACACAATTTTTTTTAATGCATTATATTTGTAAATTGTACTTATGTTGAAATTTAAAAATATATATATTACAATACTATTTTTGCATTCCATGAAAATTTTTATTGCTCCACATAGACCAAATTTTTAATTAAGAACACAGCACCCCTCCACCACCCCCTACCCCCCCGTCAATGGTGTCCCACTTTACCAGTGTTAAAATCTGGTCACCTTATTGTAAACATGTAAATAAGGACCTCCATATTTACATGTTTAGCAAAGGCAAACCTGCCCAGAGTAAGTGCAGTGGCTCCAGCCTCTAAGCAAAGCTTGTCTCTGAGGAGTATGTGGGAAATCTTGCACACATCAGCCAGGGGCCTGGCCACACTAGAATGGAAGCTGACCCCGCTACCTTCCTCTGGCCAGGCAGGATTGCAAAGCCCACCCCTAGGACAGAAGAGAGGAAGAAGCCACAAGGCTCCACATTCCAGCAGTCTGGCTAATGTCAGAACATGTAAATGAAGCTCCCAGCTGGGGCACTGCTATGGACTTCTTGCCAAAAAGTGGCCAAGTACTGATTCACAGCACACTGCACACATGCACACACATACACACATGCACACACATGCACACACATGTACACACTTGCACACATGCACACACGTGTACACACATGTACGCACATGCACTCACTCGCACACATGCACACATGTACACACATGCACACACATGTACACGCATGCACTCACTCGCACACATGCACGCACATGCGCACATATGCTCATTTTCACAGCCAGAGGTCTTGCTGATTGATTTACAGACCCAAGTGAGAAGGGTCTTTCTTTACTCTCATGCCCACTAATTCCTGGAGCTCACCTGGGAATTTTTATTGAATGTGTTGTACAAGATAGCTCTGTTAGTTTTTTTTCCAGGTGGTCCTGAACAGTTCAACCCTAAAGACACCATGTGATTCCAAACAAAATTAGTTTCCCACTGAGAGGAGCTCTGAGCAAGAATGGGATCCAGCAAGGTTTTCTGGAGCCTGTGCTGGGGCTGGGGGGTGCACGAGGCTGGGCCGTGAAGTCAGAGGCCCAGTGGGATGAAAATTGGGTCGGGGGTGGGGGGACCTGGAACCTGAAGCCTGAACAGTCTAGGTTGAGTGGGGCTGACGGATGTGGCAGGCTCTCAGCAAAATGGGAGTGGGGGCCAGAGCTGAGTGCCTGTGTGAGCAGGTGAGGGCACCAACAGGAAGGGCAGGGTAAGGGGCTGTCACTAGGGAATGGTCTAGACAGACGTCACATGGCCAAAGAGGGGGAGGACACCCACGTGGGGTGCTGGCCTTGGAAAACACATGGAATCAGAGTGTGGGGGTCTTGGAAGGTGAGGGTGGCAGGGGTGATGAAAACATAGGGGTGGCACATGGAGGGGACGGGAGTCACAAACTCAGAGAGGGGGAAAGTGAGGCTGAATGAGACCTGTGGTGCCAGATTTGACTGGAGATATTGGTGTGAAATCACAGCTTTCCACATAAAAGGATGTTTCTAGAAAGAAACACAGCCATAAATGTGCCATATGTATGTCCACACATGTGTCATGTGCTCTGCCCACTGCGTGACACCCTGAGTGCCCAGACCACGGTGTCAAGGCCCGTTCTCCTTGGGTGGTCCCAGCTCTCCCGGGGAAGCAGCTGAGAAAACAGCTGAGTGTGAGGGTAAGTGAGGCTGAGGATGGGCCATGATCCCCTGACCAAAACACGATACAAACAAAGGGAACAGTGGTGGGTTGAAGAGCAGGCTGTGTGCGTGGTTTGAAGGTGGTCTAACCTGTCGTACTTAGTAATTACTAACTGGCCTGTAACCTTCAGAGTGTCAAGGCCACGAAGGTCAAAGGGAGATTGCGGAGACATGACAGCCTGCAGCTCCGAAGTGGATCCTGTGTTTTAAAGGGCACTTCTGAGGCCACTGTGAACAGAGTCCAAGATCAGGCAACATGCCCGGCTCAGTGTTAATCCCCCACTCCGCTCTCTCCACCATAATTACAGAGGAGAATAATCACGCACATGGAGAATAAGCAGGGAAGTGTCCAGGCCCATCAGGCACCAGGAGGACAGTTCATCCTCAAAGCATCTAGGGGAAAAAATGCCTGCTGTACTCACAACACTTTTGTAAGTGGTTGGTAGGTGTTTAAAAAAATAAACATTTCAGCCTTTTTATAGCTGTTACCAGTATGTGTGAAGAGAGGCTAAAACTTCTAATGAAAATAAATCCCCAAACACCATGGCAGCCTCTGGACCCACTTAGGGCTTTTCTGGATCTGTGGCCTGGATGGTTCCCAGGTCACACGCTCCTCTGCTGAGGTGACACAGGCATGCCGCACCCTGCCAGCACTTTGCACCATGGTGAACACCCCCGTAAGTTTGCCAGTGTCCTGATTAAAGGACAGAGGGACCAACAGTGATTTCACGTCAGCTGCCAACCTGGGAAAGACTGTCTCTCCCGGGGTGGTGCAGGGGGACAGGAGGGTGTCCAGTAATCTTTGTTCTTAAAATTTAGTCAAGTGAACGCATGATGAGAAGAGACTAGAGAATCTCAGGGCCAAGAACAACCCCGAAGCTGATGGTTATTCTCACCATCCCATGCGACCACCCCATCAGTCCCACAGAGTGAGTATGATTAGTATTTCACGTGGGAGATGAAAGTGTTATGCTCAGAAGGCTAAATAACTTGGCTAAGGTCACTGCCTTGTGGGTGTTCACTACAATAATCCCATGAAGAGGACACAGTTATTGCCTGTCTTACCAAGGAGCAGCCTGAGACAAGGGAGCACTGGGCAGGAGCACAGTCATGGCAATTCTCAGCCCACTGCACACCTGCACTCAGGCCCCAGCCCCATCCTGCCTCCTGGTACTCTGTAAGGGCTCACATCCATCAGCACCACCCGTACAATGGCATAATTTTGTAGCAAAAGCAGTACAAACACACTCAAATACAACTTATTTTTTAAGTGACCCAAAGCAGTGGAAAAAGTCTCAGCCTCCATCACATATGTGCCGTGAGCTTCTGTGCAGTCCTTTCCCCCTTTCTGGGAACAGGTGTTCTTTCTTCTGTTCCAGGCTCTCCAACATCCTTCTGTGACTTACTGTGGTGTTTTTCGGCGTTTTTTAATCTCACAGGGCACTTGAACCTGTAGTTAAACTGGCAGGCACACTTAAATTATCTTGATCAAAAAAGAAGAGTAAAAAACCACTTGCTGTGCTTTGAACATCTTTTGAAAGTAATTTAAGTAATAGTCTTTAAAATTTTCACAGCACACCTAAGATCCTCTCAGGGCACACTAAGGTGGCCTTGGCACAGGGGCTGGAAATCACTGATTTAGAGCAACTTTCAAAGGGCCACCCCAGCAGGTGTCCTGCCACCCAGATCCCTATCCAATAAGCTCATGGTTAAGGGCTCAGGGTCACCAAGCCTGGGGCCACGCAGCCTCACTCTTGTTTGAGACTTTTCTTTCTAATGTTCAGATAATGACTATGTGCAGGACATTCTCGAGGATCATTTCAGGGACCATGTCTCAAATTGGCGTAGCAAGTGTTACCATGATGGGGGAGGTTCATGTTGGCATCTGCAGGGGAGGCAGCCCCCTGCCTGGCCTCATGCTGGTAAACAACCAGTCCACCTGTTCTTAACCCAGATGCTAATATTCTGCTGCCCCTGTGCCATCCAGCTGAGCAGAGCCCCAGCTACCACCCTCCCTGCAGCAGGGGGATGCTGAGGCATATGGGACAGGAGGGAGCTTGTGGGCCCAGGTGAAGCCGGACCTTACCTTTGTTTGTTCACCCAATGATTCATTTCTCCTCCAGGTGGCCCAAGTGACCACTGAATGCCTGGTACTGCAGAGAAAACCAGGGGGAACTGAGTCCTACCCAGAGAACACATGCAGTGGCCGGTGTGGAGCCTCCACACGTGGGGCCCTTTGATCCACCCAAAGACGCGTTGTCACCACAAGTGTCAGGCCAGGAAGTGAGCAGCTAAAATCAGAGCAGCTGGCCCCAAATGCATGACCTGCACTGCGGCTGCTCTTGCTCTGGAACCCCCTGTGCCCCTCCTGAGCTTTGCTCTGCCTCCTGCGCTGGTCCTACCCTTAGAGCAGCCCAATGTACACGGCACTGCCCAACTGCACACGGCGCTGCCCAGATGCACGGGGTCCTGCCCAGATGCACAGGGCCCTGCCCAGATGCACACGGCGCTGCCCAGATGCACAGGGCGCTGCCCAGATGCACAGGGCCCTGCCCAGATGCACACGGCACTTCCTGCCTTTGCTTCTCACTCCGTGTTTGAGCTCGAATTTTTAAAGCAGACAAGCAATATAGGAATCCCCACTGGAAAGTGCTATGTAACACAGGTATAATCATTTCAGTCCTGGTGACTTGTAGGAGAGTGAGGAAGGTTGACAGTTCGTCAAATTAGGAACAAAGTGATGTCACTGGACTCTCAGGAGCCCTTTGCACTCGCCCTGACCTGGCTCACTCACTGCAGACCCACCCCGCACTGCCCATCCCCCCAAGGGTCATTTGAATCAGACTCCTGTCTCGTTGATATTAATAATGACAATAATAATAACATGGGTACTCACCATCATAAAGTTTTTAAAAAACACCTATGGCTGGCGGCACCTGTGGCTCAGTGAGTAGGATGGCCCCATATACTGAGGGTGGCAGGTTCAAACCCGGCCACAGTCAAACTGCAAGAAAAAATAGCCAGGCGTTATGGTGGGTGCCTGTAGTCCCAGTTTCTCGGGAGGCTGAGGCAAGAGAATTGCCTACGCCCAAGAGCTGGAGGTTGCTGTGAGTTGTGACACCACGTCCCTCTACCGAGGGCAACAAAGTGAAACTCTGTCTCAAAAAAAAAAAAAGAAAGAAAGAAAAATTATGGCATCCGCGACGTTAGTAGGTATTTTAATTGACTTACATTTGTAAGCCCTAATCTCCACAGGGTTGCACTTTGTAGCTGGGGATATACAACCCAGAGCTAGAAAGATGTGTCCATGACTAGGAGAGGCCGGCCTTCCGGCTGGCTTCACGTCCCAGTGTTGGGTTCCTCTGTGTCACTTCCAAAGGCCACAGGTTATCTCAGATATTTAACAGCCATCCCTGCCCAGCCCCTAGAATTTCTGGGAAACCCAGAAGCCTGAGCCGTGCCCCACATGCTCTGATGTAGGTCGTCTAGTGGGGGACCCGCCTTGTGGGGTTTAGAAGCTCCACAGGGGGGTCTCTTGTGGCCCAGCTGGGATTATTCGTTCTCCCTCCATCTTCACGCTGGGCTCTGGATGGGGCGCTGTCTCCCTCCTTTCTACAGAGGCTCCATTCCCCTTCCACTGGCCGCTTCCGTGCAGTTCTAGAACAACACTCTACATTAGCACAGGAAGCAGCTGGTTCACAAGGGACTGATCAATGTCAACATGGAGTCCTCAGGTCAGCGGGGCAGGCAACCTGAGGAGCCAGGCGCTTATCAAAGATTAAACACTTTCGGTTTCTTTAAAGGACAGACTGAGTTTTCCCAGCACAGTGCTGTGCCATCTGTGAGGGTCTGAGAAGATGCACACAGGCTATCCTGAGTGTTAGCAGCAGCCCCTGCTTTTCCCCACGCCTGTGTCAACCTTGCTATAAACAACTGCTAATAAATGTTCCCGTGTTTATACCCAGGCTCTCATTCCCCCCCCCACCCCCAGCCAATAATTCTTCTATGTTTGACCTATAATTCTTTCGTTAGCTCATTACAAAAAATTGTAATGTCTTCAAAATGTCTTCTCAGTGAATGTCTTTAAAAATCACAGGGCAGATACCTATTTCTTACCAGAAACTCCAGGGAAATGTTGGTTGCCTGGGTGTGTTTCACTCCCTAAATTCTCAATATCTGGATATCTGGCATGTTTCAAATACACATCTTGTTCTTCGGTTTGAAGTTGAAATCATTGCTGTAGACGTTGTACACAGGATTGCTTTTTATTTTCTGTCCTTAAGTGCAGGGCAGCTGAAAACAAGAACATAATTACATTGTCAGAGACAAGGAGGGCGCAGAGTCCCCGTCAGCTCTTGCTGAGCTCAGCGCTGTTGCTCAGGACTGCCGGGGAGAGCTTCTGCCACCAGATCCATTTGGCTCTATTTAGGAACTAAGTCCAGGAAGGTAGTTATTGTACAAGATTAGTTTCCTGTAGGCCATAAATTGGCAGTAGCAGAAAAATACAGGATGAATTTATTAGCGTGCAAGGTCGGGGAAGAGGAAGGCAGGCTGTGCTGTGGGGCTTGTCGCCTTTCATCCCCAACCTCCCCACCTCCCCACCTCAGACAGACTGAAAAAGACCCTGGAACTACTTAATTACTTCTTAATAGTTTTAAGCAAATTCAAAGGCTGCACGTTGCTAAGTGCCCAGAGGTAAAAGCAGCCTGGACTATGTTAGGAATGCCTGTTTGCTAGAGTTTCTGAAACCTGATTAGGCCCCCTTACAATCTGAGGTTTTGTGAAGGTTTTCTCCTTATTTGGTGTTGATTGCTAGGTATTCACTTTGAAGCTAGAATTGTGCATTTGGGAATAGAGGAGCCCCTTCTAAACAGTGAAGAGAGAAATCCATCGGGTCAAAAATACAGTTGTTTCCAACCAGAGGTATGATAATGGGATAAATGTCTTGGCAGGTGCTTGCTTTAGAAAGAACAGGGACAGACAGCATTTTTTAAAGAAAAATGGCTATTTATCTGAAAACACATAAGTAAAAGTAGTCCCTAATCGGGCTACTTTCCTTATAAAGACGTTTCTGCACTCACGGAGGGTACCCCCTCAGTTACCTGAGCCCCTCTGCCGCGTGAGAAACATAAGCCCCCTTTTCTTCTTTTGATAGTTTTCCAAATGGCTTAAAGTGTCAGGCAAAATTAGACCCTGCTGGTAGCAGATGAAGTACTTGGACACAGGTTTTTAGGGCTTTTGCATGAAAGGTTGTAATTCAAATTTTAATTACACACAAGATCTGCAGCCAGTTACAGGAGACCCCTTCCCCACCTCCCTTCCTAGGAGGCCTTGGGCACCCCATCTCTGTCTCTGCCTATGGCCGGGTGGGACAGGCAGGGTAGATGATTTAAGGTAGAAGGGGAACCCCTCCTGTCCTGTCATGGAGAAGAGTCTGATTTTAGATCACTCCCCTAATTTCTACTAAGAACAGCAATCAGGTAGCAAAGGCAGGGTGTGCCTCAGTGCCAGGACACTGCCCGCACAGACAGGGCCCCATCCCGCACACCCTGCCGTGGGGCGCACTGCTCGGACATGACAACAGCCTGGAGGGGTGCTCACAGGCTGAGGTCCTGGAGGGGTGCTCACAGGCCGAGGGAGAGGCCGTCACACTGTGTCAGTGCTTCTCCAGTCTGTGCATTTGCCCAACCTGTGCTGGTGCCATAAAATAGTCTGGGAAAGTTCCCTGAGGACTGGTCTCAAACAGACATGCAGGTGCTCCCTGATCCTTCCTCACAGCCCAGGGAAAGGCTGCCCGGCCCGGATGAGCCCACCTGCCCCTCGTAGAGGCGCCCAATCCTGCTCTGGGCATGGGAGGGACAGGGTGGCCTAGCAGCGCACCTGCTGCTGTCGAGGGATCAGCCAGTCGTGCCCCGGGTCTTTCACTCCTTCTCTATTCCGAAGAGGTGGGCATCTCAGGGGCTCACAAGCTCCACGTGTATACCTCTGGCTCAGTCTGGAGCCTCTGTGACAGGCCAGACTCAACCTCCGGTGACCTTCCCAAAGCCTTTTATCACAAAATAAATTCAGAAATTAAGTGGGAACTTCCAATTCCAAATCATGCCAGAAAGAGCTTTCGCAAGGCCATCTGAGGCCAAGCAGCAGTTGGCAGCGTCTCCGTTTGCTCACCAGGGCAGCCCAAATCCGCCGTTCCCGGAACATGGAGAACTTCTCTTTCCCGTGTCGATCTGAAGTAGGTTTTAGCCAGTCCTGGAAATCTCAGGTCAACAAAAGTCAGACCTCAATCATGATGGGCTCATCAACACGTTCTCCATTTAGTATAAGGCAATTGAAAAAAAAGACAATTCTGTGCTGCATCTCCTGGGTTTCCTCGTTCAGGCATCCTCGGAGACACGCCTGGTTACTATTTTTGTTTCTATAGAAAAAACAAGTGAGCATAGCCCTGGAAGGAGGAGAATGCTATTCAGAGCCAGAGACATTCCTGGTGGACTTCAAAGACGGCCGCAGCCCCGGCTGAGGACCTCCTCCCAGAGCCCGCTCCCCGGGAGGGACGAGAAGGACACAGCTGAGGATCACAGCCCCTGCTCCCCGGGAGCTGTGGGCTGTGGCCACCACCCGAGACGGGGAAGACCGTGTTTCCTTTGTCCATGCGCTGGAGGACCCTCGCCTGGCAGCCGTCCCCAGTGATGATGTGACCCAGACACAAACAGTGACCTTGTCTCTTGGACACCCACTAGCAACATTCCAGCTGCTGCACAGCCCACTCCAACCCTGTGCCGTCACTGCACAGATTGAAGGCCCTGCCCTGCTGTGGTGCCAACTCGGACACATGGTGACGCTTGTCCCTACACATGTCACTGAGGGCCCAAAGCAGCTTGAGCCCACAGGGAAGGAGAAAACAGACGCCAGGCCCTCCACACTGCTGGGGGGGACGCAAGAGAGCTGCTTCTCACACCCACACCCACATCCACACCCACACACTCGTACACATGACACACAGACACACCCCACACACCACACACACCACAGACGCTCACA